TCCCTGGCCAGCAAGACAGAGGGAAAGCGGACAAGAATAGCCTGGAAGTCTGACTTAAGCCCTTTTTTCTCCATCCCATCCCCTTCCAGGATACTTGGCAGAAAGCTTCTGGGGAAGCCTTCTCCAGAGCATGCTGGTGGGGATGACTTTCGTTATCTACTGATTTCTCTGGCAGTTCTGCTTTCTTCACCAGAGCCCTGCTCTTTACAGCACTGCTCTGCAGAGAACTGGTCTCAGACCATCTCACCTTGTGAGCTGTCTCAGGTAGCTGTTCTTGCCATCCTTAGCAGTGGAACCAGCTATGCTGGAGCTGATTCAGTGCAGAAACCTGGAGTCACTCTGCTACGTCCCTTGAGCTGCTGAGACTGATAATTACAGAGGAAGCTGATTTAGGACGGGGTGACAGTTATCTGAAGTCCTGTGTTTCCAATCTCCTTCAGCGAGATTAGTCTGCCAGTGCCCACAGCCCTCAAGGTGGGTGGCCTCATTTCACATCAGAAATGGAGCTTTCTACAAACAGCTTCAGGAGGGACCATTTTGATCTCTGCCCCTTCCCTTCCGTAGTAGAGGGCGTACAGGAGGAAGAGGGAATTGGACTGTAAATCAGGACACTGTTGCATGTTTATTCTGACAAGCTGCTTCAACAAAGTTACTTCATGTTCTTATATCCCTTTTGGAGCAGATGAAGCTGCTGCTGGAGCCCAGGGTAAATAATTCACTAAGAGAAGTGAATATATTTATGAAGAGTTAGTTAAAATGCTGTGCTTCTGTCATGCCTGCTTTTGGAACTGTCGGCTGAGGAGCTCATTTCAGTCCTGTTTGTGGGGGGCAGTGGGGTGAAGCAGTGCCTGTGTGAGGGAAAGAGCCTTGTTAGCTTCAGATGCAGATGGAGAGTGATAGGCAGTGCTGGACAGGACGACTCAGATCCTGCCTGAGGAGCTGAAAAGAGCTCCTGAAAAGAGCACTTTATCCATGCAGCAGGAGACACTGATGGGTCTGAGAGCTGAAGAGGGGGAGCTGGAAATGTAAGGACACATTTAGCCCTGCTAAAGGGTCTGGATGACGGTGCTCACACAGGTTTTCAGAGTGGGGATGGGGCATGAAAAGCTGGTGTGTGTTGTTGGAAAAAGATGATAAAAAAAACTTTTCTGGGTAGGGCCCAAAGCAGGATGGGGATGATGTGGCTAAGGCTGCAAAGCACCTGGATTTCATGGAACGTGGGTGCTCTGCACCCAGTGCTTTCCAGAGCACACACAGCTGTAGCTCAGGCTCGTGGTGACACCAAAATGCGTGTCATCCCCCTCTCCTACTTTACAGAAGAGTAAATTCTGAGATGGACGGAGAAGTGATTGTCAGAGCTAACAGGCCAAGTCAACAGCAGAGCTGAGAGCAGGGCCCTGGTTGCAGAGGCTTTATGGTGCTTCTGCCAAGGGTGACCGGCGGAGAGAAGACAATAAACTACGCGGGTAATTTTCCACCAGAAGCAAACAAGCCTCGCTGGCTGCTCTTTCCTTCCCATATGTTGAGATAAAGCATCTGTGATAAACACCCGAGCGCAGAGCTGTTTTTCTCCCTGTGAACTGTTGCTGGTGTGCAGATGTCTGTGGGGCCAGCTGAGGTGGGCTGAGAGGGGGCAGCTCCGAGGGGTTCACAGCAGGAGTTGTCACCGTGGTAGGGGAGGCTACTTGTAAACCTTGGTTATTGCATTGTGAACCTGATGAAGAAAAGCAGGGAAATGATGCCCTTACAGCAGAGAAGCCCTGCTGAACCGCTTTTGGCTGCCAAAAGGTCCTGATGGTACTTTTTAATGAAGTTTCGCTTTGTGAAGGAAACGGGCTCTGCCTGGCCCGAGGCAGCAGAGTCCGAGACAGCTGCAGCAGGAGCCAGTCAAAGCTGGGGGAGTGGAGGTGCCTCAGAGGCTTTTTCTTGCCTTCCTGGTAAGATGTGTCACACATCTGTGATCTTATCCAGCCCAACATGTGGCTGTGCCTCCCCTCCTGCATGATCAACGGTCCCCTGCCAGGTGGACTCTGCTTCAGGCTTTGGGGCAGGGAGGGTAACACTCCATTAGAGGAAGGAGCCACACATGTTCCACAACTTTTGCTCATACCCTTCTTCTGGGAAGTAATTTCCCTCCTCTTTTCCTTCTGACATCTCTCTCCAGAGAATTGCTGTCTTCTATGAGCATATCCATCTTGCTTCCCCACAGTCTCTGCACTCATAAATCCTTCATCTTCCTAGAGACAGTGTTTGAGACTCTGTTGTCGTCAAATGTGATCCTTAACTACTCCAGCTCCCACATCTGATGGAGCAAACCTGGTTTTCACGTTACCTCTTTACCGTCAATTCATATTGAAACTCCCTCTGAAGGTTGGAGAAATTTATCAGCTGCTGCTCCGGAGTTTACAGAGAGCTGGAGGTCATGAACAAGTGGCAGGTTATAGCTTCTGCAAGAGAAACTGGCTAAATGAGTTTTAAATTTAAAAATCAATGTCTTAATTTCAGATACTTTGTTCTGCCAGCATGGTGAACTCCAGCCATGCTTTAATACTTTAAATGCCACAGCATCGATAATGCCTGGCAGTTCCAGAGTTGCAGTGGGCTCTTCAGCTTGCCCAAAACACTGCTGGGAGGCTGCTGGCTCTGAGGGGGAGGGCACCAGCATCCTAGAAAGAGATCAGCAGGGAAGGAGACAACAGGGAAGGCATGCAGAAGGTAGGACTGGCTGATGTGCTGCTGTGCCATTCAGTGTGTACAGAGCAGATGCTCTTGCATTTATGTCCTTTCTCCTGAAGGAGCTTCCTAACACTAAACTAAATGAGATCTGTTCCTCTGTGTAAGAGTGGCCTGCAGTGTGTTGGCTTGATGGAGGATCAGGCTTAAGGCAGGGAGAGATCTTCCTCTTTCCAAAGGGACTGGGCTCAGGAAGCGCCTGAAAACATCTCCCTCATGGAATCCGTCTTGCCACCTAATGTATGAGAAGGGAAGCGAGTGGCACGTGTTGGGACAGGGTGATTCATTATCATTATTTCCTGGCATATTGATTCTCCGCTTCGACAGGGAAGTTCTGTCACGCCGTCAGCCGGCGGTGACGGATGGCCCTGCCGCAATCGTGCCGGCAGCGCCGCGTGGCACCGGCTCACACTGATGGCTGGGGGGCAGGGGAGCAGCCAGGCGTGGGGTGGCTGCACTCCACTGCCTCTCTGGGTCCCTGGAAGGGACAGCAGGCAGAGGCAGGTATGGTGATGTTCCCTCCGGGCTTTGCTCGTGAAAGGAGGAATGAGAGCAGGGACAGGGTTGGGGAAGACGTGACCATCTCCACGTAGAGCGTCTTCCAGAGATGCAAGGGAGGGTTAAGCCAGAAGCGCATTCTGAGCATCAGTTCTTCAAGGAACCTACCGTGATGGGGGGGGAAACAAATGTGTTTTAGCCTTGGACTTATTGTTTTCCTTTCTGCAATAGCCTCTCTGCAGAGAGATGAAACTCGTGTACAAGTAGCATTTTTCATTTGCAAAGGTGTTTTCTCTGGCTCTGCAAAACGATCCTTAAACTCGGAATGGCTAAATTATCTCCACTGCTTCTCTGCAGCTCTGTTATGCTTCTATCGAAGTGCACAAAAATGTATTTCTTAATATCCCCTGACTCCCATATTTCCCAAAGTGTACTTCTTTGGATGCCTGCTCATCCATATTCAGCCTTATTTCACCTGCAAAAACCAGAGCAGAACTGCCCTGTCTCTGATCAACATTTGAGTCAAGCAGGAGAGGCAGCAGTAGCTGTCTGCAAGGTCTTCTTTGAGAAGAGCCAGTGTTTGCTGCTCAAAGAGTGAGGGGAGCAGAGAGAGTCTGCAGGGGAGGCAGTTGGATGGTTGGGATGAGATTCATCACAACTTTTCCTTTATGGCTTAGCCCCTCTTTATTTTTTTCCACAGGCTCACTTCCATCCTACACCAAAAATGATGCTCCAACATCTAGAGGAGAGAAAATGAGACAAGTGCCTCTAAGCCTGTGGTTTGGGGGTTTGGAGTGGGTCTCACACTGTGAAAAAATCAGGACAAGCAAAATCCTCAATTGCTTTTTAAGCATTTATATAAATCAAGGTGTAAAGCAAAGTTTTCTTGTAAGCAACTAACAATCCACACTGGCATCAATGCCCACCTGGCTCTGGGTGCTGTTGGTCATGGTGTCTGAAGGTGTTTTATCCCTGGAGCATCCTTTGTCCTGTGTGGAGAGGAACAGATCAAGAGGAACAGATAGTTATGAACCCATGTCTGACTTCACCAGGATCCTTGTGGTGAAGGAACACTGCTGCACAGTTGATGTGGTAGCTGTAGGTGACACGAAATGGTGCTGTGTGAGTGCCTTCAGCTGCTGTCCCAGGTAGAGGATGTGAGTGGGAGCTTTGTGTGTGCCTGAGGATCCTGTGCTGCCTCTTTTCTGCTCAAAGCTGCCTGTCAGTCAGTCTGTCATCTTCTTTTCATCTTGACTTATCATCCAAACCATATCTAGGTTTCAGAGTGTCATTTTTGGGCTTGCCTCCTCCCAGGGACAGAGAGAGAAATCTGACATGCAAATGTTTTAGCTCTTGGGTTCCAGAACTGAGAAACTCTGCTGCTGCTGGGAGGGAGAGAAAACAACCAGTGGGGCAGGGCTGCTGTTGTCCTCTAGGGCTGGAATTGTGCAGGGGAGGTTTCCAGTTTACCCAGCACCATTTCTCTCAAGGATCTTGCATCTGCAGAACATTAATGCTCGGGCAGGGGGAGCAGAGCTTGCCTTGCTGGAAACACTAGTTTAGATCTTAGTATTGGATCATCACTTCTTGTAATTTTAATAAGTTTATTTTCTGAAATGAGTATTTAAGGGAAAACAAAGGTGTTAAATTCTAGTTGCTTAAGCCAAAGACTTCTGTCATTTAGGTAATGCACAAGAATTCTGTTCCTTCAGCGCTCCCTGCCAGAAAAGCACGTGTCAGGGCAGAGGAGATGGGAGGTGCTCCAAGGATGGGGTACCCACCTGGAAATTCTCACTGGTGCAGAAAGTGGGACTTTGAGCCAATGGTGAGAGTGGTTTGGGGGGATAGAAAGGAACAGTCTCGGCACATATCCAGAGCTGCCCAACCTGCTCTGTCTTATTGCTCAGGGCACCTTCTCCTCTTCCTCACAGGCTGTGCAGCCCCAGGGAGCGCAGCCACGTCACATCACCCGGAACACAGCTCTTTCCAGCCTTCTTGCTGAGCAGATATGGCTGGCAGGCGTCTCCCCCCGCCGGGGGACGTGGGGGAGGCACAACAACCGTACCTGTGTTTGCAGTGCCCCTCGCTCGCTGCCTTGAGTGAAGGCGAGGGGAATTGCACACCCCCAGAGCAATGAGCTGTTGCCTTCCACAGCCCTCTGTGATTGCTCTCCCAAAGCAGCCTGGCCCTCGTGGTGCTGTGAAGGAATGGATCTGCTGCCATCGCTCCAGTGTTTGTGGAGGGCTGTTAGATGTGCCCTGTCCCTGGGAAACGGCTGGGAGCGAGAGGTTTCCCGAGGCAGCATGAGGTGAAATGTGGCGTGCAGCTTGGAGCTGGTGTTTGCAGCAGGAGGAAGAGGATTACTGAGAGAGGAGAAACTGGGTTTCAAAGAGCGCTGGGGGTGTGCAGGAGCCGATGTTTAGTAAGGTTA